CTGACCCCCTCCACGATCCCCCTGTCCTCTCCTGCGGTGTCTGAGAATTGGTGGTGAACCAGGATGGTCCCGGATCGCATCTTTTTATCCCCCTGCTTTTGCTGCAGAGGGAACAGTGGCACAGCAGGGGTCTGGCCTGAGGACTGAAGCTGGGTGTCTTCAGTACTTTCTAAAGCCAGCGCTCACCCACGCCCAGCTCTGCTGCCACTCGGAGCAGCAGAAACTCATGGTAGAGTTAAATGTGCTGTTTTCTCCACTTTAGAAGTCAGTATAAAATTCTTTCTGAGAATAACTGACTTTTCCCCTATGGAGAGGGAAGTTATTATTTGATCTTTTTGCTCAAAACCAGGAAGCACTATATGGTCAAAGGGAGGGTTTGAGAATATTGCAGATCTGTGTCCAGATGCCTGTGGCATGGGGATCTTGTCTCTTTCTTGAGGCTGTCCTTTAGTCAACTCAGGAAAGGGTCTTTTTGAGACAGGGTCTCCCTGTAGCTCCAGCAGGCCTGGAACTCCCTACACAGAGCAGGCTGACCTCGATTCAGTCTCACAGAGATCCTATTGCCTCTGCCTCCTGAGAGCTGGGATTAAAGGTGTGCTCCACTAGCTGTGTATTTAATTTTAATACTTAGGTCTTTCTTTAATTCTGGAAAAATTTTAGCTATTTTCTTTCCACTTTTTTCCATTATGTATTTCTTTGTTGGAACTCATATATATATATATATCCTCCCTCTGCCCCCCTCCATCCCTCCCTTCCTCCCTCTGTCCCTCTGTCCCTCCCTCCCTCCATCCCTCTGTCCCTCCCTTTCTCCCTCCATCCCTCTGTCCCTCCATCCCTCCCTCCCTCTCTCCCTCCCTTTCTCCCTCTGTCCTTCCATCCCTCCCTCCATCTCTCCATCCCTCCGCCCCTCCCTTCCTCCCTCTGCCCCCCTCCATCCCCCCCTTCCTCCCTCTGTTCCCTCCGTCCTTCCCTTCCTCCCTCCATCCCTCCGTCCCTCCCTTTCTCCCTCTGTCCTTCCATCCCTCCCTCCATCCTTCTGTCCCTCCCTTCCTCCCTCTGCCCCCCTCCTTCCCTCCCTTCCTCCTTCCCTCTCTCCCTCCCTGCTCACCTCTCTCCTTCCTTCCTTGAACTCTCACAGCCAAGGACAACCTGGAGGTTGTCCTCTTTAACTTCTCTTTTATAATCCACTTTAAAAAAAACCACCTCTGTATGTGATTGTCTGTGTCCATTTTTGAAACTCTTATGATTACTAATTTTTCTTAGAACCAGACTTTTATCTGGAAGAGTTTTTAAATAGACTTTTATTTTTATTTTATGTGTATGAGTATTTTCTTGCATGTATGTAAGTGCACCTGTGTGTGCAATGCCCATGGAGGCCAGAGGAGAGCTTTGGGTCCCTGGAACTGGAGTTTGGGATGGTTGCTAGTTGCCTTGTGGGTGCTGGGAACTGAACCCAGGTCCCAGTGCTTAGCCTCTGAGCCCTCTATCAAGCCCTCGATGATCTTACATGAACTTTTTCTCACATTTTTGCTGTCTCTTCAGCCCACCATCTCTTCCTTCACATCCACCATTTAAAATTACATTGTCATTTTTGTAGGTAATTGCTTTCTTTATCTCTTTGAGGACTGACAACACACTCATTTAAATGTCATTTGAGAATTGCTTTGTGACTTGGATTTTATTAGTAATGAATCAGTCTCTGATTATTTAGCATGATGGCTGTCTTTTCTAATGTCATTTTCTTATGCTCTCTGGAATTTAAATTTATAGGTGGGAGCTTCTGATTTTTCCTCTCCATGCTCACTCATTTTCTCTCTGGCTTGGTGTTTCCTCCACCCGATGCCCCTTTCATGAGTCCAGAGTGTGGTGTGATGCTGAGGGTGAGGACTCACGTCCTCTGGTAACGTGAAGCATGTTGTGTTAGTCCTGTGATCACAGGTACTAGGTCCAGTCTGTGTGCCTCCTGCCCCTTCCCCAGCTGCCCAGCCATTGCCCAGGCAGGGCTCTGAACTTCTGAGGCTCCCTGAAGAGGTGGAGGAGCCCGCCTCCTGGCACTGCCCTCCCAAGCTTCAGTTTGGCTCCTCACATCCTGGCAGCCCTACCCCATCACCTCTGCTCTTTGCTATGTTATTCTTATTTTGTTCTTGACCCACCTGTCTTTTTATATATCCAGATGTGTGTCTTTAAAAAAAAATATATATATATAT